GTGGAAAGGAATTCCAATGCAAAATCGATTTTAAAGCATGCTAATTCTGAGTGAATTCCTAAGTTGAAGAAAATGTTGGATTTGATTTTAATTTCTATAGACTTCGAATTGAGTTTTAAAGGTCTGTTTGGCGCGAATATGCGCGAATCATCTAATTGCAATATCTCAAATAGCATGTTTAATTGGACTTGACATAAACAGGTATTGCCTTGCTGCATTGAGGTGAATCCTAATTAAACCCAAATTAAACAACCTATTTCTCGATTGAAGTTCAAAGGCTAATTAATAATAGAAAATCTGGTTGAGTCTTTCCCGTAGTAAACTATATGTTTGATCTAAGTGAAATGCGTCTAGAATGTGACGTGGGAATGAGTTCCTAAACTTCTCATTGAACAAAGTACCAATCCTACAGACCTCTGCAGAATTCTTGGGTTCAGCCTCTTCAAAACCTTAGGAGGGTCTCCCAAAAAAAGAAACACTCCCATAGGCCCCAAGGTCAAAAGCGGCAAAATACCAATCCTGGGGAAGTGTTTGCCTCCCCAGCCCAAGCGTCCTGGGGATTGTTTTTTTGCGACCTCTGCAGACTTGTTAGAGGTCAGAGCCTTCCAGGATAATAATTTTTTGGGACCTGTCCACGTTTTGTGAGGCTGACCTCAAAAAGCCTGCAGAGGCCCCCAAAATACCAACCCTGGCGGGCCTTTAGCTTCTCTCTGATTTTTTTGCGGGGGCCCACGCACAAACCTCAAGCCAAGCCTCTTCAAAGCCAACCCTGTCCGGAAGGTCGTGACCCCATCGCTAACTCCTCTTTAGGTTCGCTCTTCACAACGCTAACTCCTGTTTGGGCGACTTCATTGAACCGCTCCACTTGCATAGCTGGCCGGTCACAACAATCGACCATCTGCTTACCCCATTTGGGGTCGAACCCTGGTTCATGGTTTCAGATTTCTGGCGCCGGTCAAGTTCCCCTGCGTCTCCCGGCGCAATACGCCCGGCTGCAACCAGGGCAGTGGTGGGCAGCAGCGTATCATCCTGGGCCAAACCCTGCACAATTGCAATTCGATTGATTTGGATTCGGACACTCTCGTTGAAACGGATCGAAAGGAATGTGCTTCTGGACGCCCGGAGCCCGAACACTCGCAAGTTACTATACTTTGCTCTTGGCTAGTGTGTGCGTGTGTGTTTCCTTGGAACATCATGCATCGCATCTTCAAGTCAACGGAAACATATACTATCCACGGCTGAATGGTGTGGAAGCCACATGCATATTTTCAGCCCGAACTCACCACCAGAACAACAAGAAGCTCCTTCGCCATTACCTCAAGAGGCACTTGGATGTCGCATGGAATCCTTGAGGCCATGGCCCAGTCGAAAACGATCAGGGAGGAAGCCACGTCAGGCTCCTATAAATAGATGTCATCGCGTCACCGCAATCGCCGGCCGTGACTTCAGCCCAGATATGCCCGTTAAGCCAGCCAGGCAGCCCTCAAACAACACGAGCTGTTTGCAGGGTGGCAAAATGGCGATCAAGAGCGGACGCACCGGGATGTCACGCCCACACCGGTCCCAACATCTTTGTGTCATGATGATCCTGACCGTCCGACGGTCCGTCCATCTATTCCCTTGCAGTGGGCCATCTCTTGGGAGAGCCTGACATTTGCCACATGGCTCTCGCTCGCTCCTGGCTGCCCATCCAGGGATCCTTTGTGACCACGGCCTGCAAAGCCGCTTGCAAACATGTGCTGACACCGGAGGGGGGGGGGGACCACGGAGTGGAGTAAACATGGCTGCTCTGCCCAGTCAGGGAAGGGGGGAGGGTCCTTTCTTACGGATTGCTTACACGATTGCTCGTTACTTCTTCAGACCTCCAGTCACAAACACTAAGAACAACCAAACACATACTCGCTGCCAAATCGCTGCTTGCTAAGCATATCCCACTGAAAACCGCTGAGTGCTCTTGAACACCTTCTTCAGAGCACAAAAGGTTCCTCAAAAATGAGCTAGTTTGCTGTCCACCTCCCCCCCCCCCCAAAAAAAAAAAGAAAGAAAAGAGACAATCTGCATCTCACGGAATCGCAGATCACATCGCTCCCCGTCGAATCTCCGGATCAAGACATTGCGAACTCAGCTCCGCACCTTCACCTGGGCCAAGGCGGAGCAAGCACTTATGCGCTGATGTTGTTTCAATATTGTACATAGTGTTTTATTGTTGTTTTTTTTGTGTGTGTGTGTGTGTGTTTTTGTTTGTTCTTTTTACCAAAAAACACAATATTATGTTTAAAAAAAAAAGAAACAAGAAACAAACAACCCTTGAACCCAAGAGTTTGGCTTCCGGCCGCATTACAAGCGCCCGGTTGGGCGCCAGGCGCATTGCCAAAGCTCCTCCCCCTGTGGCGGCTTTACCTCGCCACGGCTCAGACCGGTGTCCGGCCCTGATGCTTGCCGCAGCCGCGTGCTGAGACTCTGGGAGAACCAATGCAACCAAATGCAACCAACAAAGTTGCCTGATCAACCTGAAACTAAACAGACTTGCGCACCTTCAATTGCCCATAAGTCGTGGATACCAGGCTCATTGCCGGCAACAAAAGTCATGAGCCATGAGCCATGATGGAAGTCCTCAACATGGTCACCGTCAATGCGGCACGTGCGACGCATTATGTGGCAGGAATTGGGGACCCTTTGGGACCCTTTGGACGTGATTTACATGTGGATTTGCCACTCATTTTTGGAGGGTGCCATGGAAAAACGTCACACCCAGCCTTCTGCTATGGGAAGTGTCCGGTCCCGTTTTCAACCGCCCAAAAAACCGAGCGAAAGCCACCGCCGGGCTCCCCGGCCACTGGCTGCGGGGGAACTTCCTCCAGCTCGGGCACCGGCTCACCTGGCCATGAGCCACGGTGGCTTCATGGGTTTGGACTGGCGGGGTTGCTGCGAGCTTAGTCCCTCCCGCCTAGCATGGGTGTGGCTCAAAATTTAAACAGGAGAGGTTACGCAGGTTTTGGTCCATGTTTCCACTTACCGGGGTTCCATTTTGGTACTGGTTTTTGGAGCCACAGCCACATGGAAGTGCACAAACCCCTGTAGGAAGACTACTTTCCTCTTGGAAGAGGGCCTTTTTGCAGGGCATGAGAAATGGAATGAACCGTTCCGGGGTCCCTGAAAAAAGGAAACCACTAGAAATGAATGGTTTGTAAGGGCCATTCCATCTCTCATTCCTTGCTGAGCACCAGCAAGTTTAGGAGTTCTTGTGATCAACAAGAGAATGGTGCAAGGAAAGTGTAGGGTTCTATATAAGTTACTGGTGCATGGCGTGTGCGGCTCTGGAGTTTTGAACAGTTCCATTCTGCGCCTGGTACATCCTGAGGCGGCAAAACTGCCTAAGCCAAGCAGCACTCCCAAACAAAAAAGCACAAGAAAAACACAAAGGACATGGTCACAGGGATGCAGTGGCAACACCAAGGAAACCCCCCCCCCCCACGATGACAGGTCCAGCGCCTTTTGTCACCAGGCTTTGCCTTTCAAAGCTCTGGGAAGCGCACGACCGCCGCCATCCAGTTGCAGCCCTGAGCTTGGGTCACACTTCGCCTCTCGCCTTCACTTACACCAGGGCACATTGCACAATGAGATGATAAAGCGATAAATGCAAAATGTGCTGCCTCTTTTCACCTACCGTACCACTCAAGAAGCCATCCTGCAGACTGCTTAAAGATTTCCCGCGAGCTGCCAGGAAGACCCCGCACGCCAAATCATGAGCTGGCCAAGGCAAATCTCAGGATTGTTAACTGTCCGGTTGCTCTGTTCTGAATGGAGTTTCTCAAAATGGTGGACCCCCTTCTGGTTTAACTAACCCCCCCCAAAAAAAACAAAAACAAAAAAAAACTCACCCAAAAAAAACGAACCGGTTTCTTTTGAGACATGCCCATGGTTTGTGTCCACGAATATGGCACAAGCACCCCAGCGCTTGCTTCAAGTTCTGCTGCCTGAGCCTATGGCGATCCAGGAAAACGAGGCCCAGCAAGCTGCCGGCCTGGAAATCAGGCCGCGGAAAGGCACGGGGAGATGATAGGCAGCCTTCACTTGGTTGCAGCAACGACCCCCCTGCAAAAAAGTTTGACTTTTTTTGGGAGGTTTAGGGGAAAACCCAACTTGACTTCCTGAAAAGTTAAAGTCTAAAGAAGCAACCCAATAGCAGGCAAGTGCAAACACCCCACCCGTTCACATGGTTCACATGTGGGCTGTCAAAAAACATGGGCCGCTCCCCTGAACAGAGCGGCACAAAAAGACCCCAGCCTCCGGAAAAAGTGAGCCCGGATCAACGCCATGCACTGGGTGCGGCTGACATGCCGCAGCCCCGCCTGGTGCCTCAATGCAGCTGCAACGCAGGTTCCTGGGCGAAACTGCCGCGCAGTCCGGACCCCATTGGTGCCATGCTTTAGCCATACATCAGCTTCCAAAGGCAGCAAGACACTCTCTCACAGCGCTGTTCTTGAGATGAATATCCTTTGCCGGGCCCTTCTGCATTCCATGCTGGCGGAAGGCTGTTATCTAGTATGACTCAGAAAAGACATGCGGCCTCAAGTCGAAAGAAAGCGCTCAGAGAAGTCAACAGCCGGGGCCGCGAACCGCAAACACGCAGAGTTGAATGGCAAGATCCTCGGCACTATGGTACTTGAGCCTAACCAGCAGCATGCCACAACCCGTGCATAGTCGGCCGTGACATCAGTTAGACCAGGAGCACACCGCGTGCGCTTCAGTGGGCGAGGCATGGCGAGGCTTGCCGAAACTGTCACACCAGGTGATTAAGTGGCAACGCAGCCTCTCCCACAAAGACATCATGGAGGCCCCAACTTGACAGCTCCAAATCACCAATCCTGCACAATAAGGCGATCCACTTGCACTTGCGGCGAAATTGTTGATCGGAAACGTGACAAGTGGCAGGCTGCAGGGCAACTTTTCATCGAGCCCGAGCCCACTCCGCGCTCACTTGGTGAAGCAGCGCGGGCTCACAACGACATGAAGAGCTCCTGCACAAAGGTAAAAATCCGCTCCGGGACAAGCACAACAAAGTGTGAAGAAGTCTGTTCTGCAACGACATTCATTACTGCATGTTTCGGATTCAATCAACCATCAGCCAAGCTGGCGAATAGTGGAGACCAGTCTGGACAGCTGAGCAAACTTGGCTGTCGATACCGCCGTCTACTTTAACAGAACTGAACGCACACAGCCATCAGGGTAGTCAATTGAGCAGCTCCCAAGACCCGTTGAAATTTTCTTCTAGCTACATGGCTCTGACTGGCAAACTCCTGGAAAAGGAGTAAGGCGCTCACGACGCAAAATGTGATGTAGATGGTCGGGGTTAACCTGAGCATGCGATATGCCCTGCGGTGCAGCGGACTTCTTGGCAGCCGCAGCCTGCTGGCCCCCAGCAATGCTGACCACTCAGGTCGGAGAGCGATTCGTATATAGTATAGAGGGTGGGGGGTCCTGCCATATTTGCCCAAAGTTCCCAGCGCTGGGCCAACACAAAGCGGTACCAGAGCCAATGCTAAACCACCTCTAAACCAATATCAAGCAGTGCTAAAATTGCTGGATGCCTAGATGTTTAGGAATTTCTCTGTTGACCCGCCTTCATTTGGGGCCCCTAACCTAATCCCTACCCACATTGGCAATCTTAGGCAGGCACAGGGCTGGTGCCTCCTCTGCATCAAGCGCCTGGGAACATGTGTCATGCACCCACTGGGGCTCATTGCACATCAACGAACCCCCATATTATCAAAAAAAACTGGATCCGCCTAAATGAGTTTCAAGGGTCCAGCCTGGGGCAATGACCCCCCTGTTCATCTCAATGGGCCTTTCAGGGGTCACAACTTTGGCATTTGAGGCCAGGACGACTCCGGCGGGCCCGCTACAGCCTCACAGCTTGGCGATGGCTTTTGTCTGGTCTGTGGCTTGGCTTGAGGTACCTAATGGCTTGAGGGTGGGCTAAAGAGTCTGGCATGGGTGATTCAAGGGCCCTGGTGAGAATAGCATGCTGTGCAGTAGTGCAGTGCTTCGAATGGCAGCATGGGAAAGGGTCTGTTCGCAAGACTGGCTCAATCGAATTGAGTTTGGCAGTGACCGGGGCTATCAAACAAACATATGCCCACTGCATCACGTTCTGTGATACGATCGCATATCCAAAGGCGATTTGAAAACATCCATGGGCTGCGCGAAAGGTTTTGTGTGGTTGTCAGTTCTCTCAACCAACTGGCACATTTAGTGGGCAAGATTCTGCAGGCTTCAAGACGAGACATACACATATTAATGATTACAAATCCAGCATGCCCTGCACACCCTCTGAACAGCTTGGGCCGCTGCATCCAGCCATGGACAAGCCGCCCAGCGCAACGCCTCAATGGCCATCGATTGGACTGATAGGAGGGGGGTTGAATGCCGCAGGCAACCCATCTGGTTCACAATATCTTGACACCGGAAACCATGCAGACCCTGCTAGCCGCGGCGCAAGAGACGCAATTGTTAGTTCCAACCCTCGCCAAGGCACATGCAGCAAGTAGCTGCGGCTGCCCTGAGCTGTGCACCAACCTGCAGCCAACGAAGTGTGCGCGCTTTCCCCCTGGTCAAAGGAGATCTGATTCATTCCTTTTCTATCGTCACAAGGTAGAGCAAGTCACCCAGGCCCGATTTACCGATGTGTTGTTTGCACCAGTTAAACATCACTACTGGTAGTGGCATCGGCGGCAGCTTGTCAACTGCATTGTAAGCAGCTTATGAAGCCTGACGCTGCCGGGCACGTGACATGCATGCTGCGCACGTGACATACTTCAATGCTGTGGGTTGTCAAATGCCGTCACCTCCCCCGTCGGCCCGCACCAGAAGTTGATGAGCTGTGCAGACGCAAGGGCTAGAGCTGGCAGACGCGCCTGGCATAGCGCTTCAAAGCCAGCAAAGGTTTGCAGGGCACCTCAACCGCATCGTGACAGGCAAGACCCATTGTCATATCATGATGTCCCCTGAACGTTGTTGGGCCATGGTTGCAGTGGTAATCGAGTGCACCCTTGGCTGTGTTGCGGTTCGCACAAAGCGAATCGCTTTGCTCTCCAAAGGCTCCTCTCAAACCTTGCGACGCAACGCGGGGAACTCCTCGCCTGGGTGCAGGCCACACCCCACCAGGTGCCTGCAGCCCAGGAGGAGGCCACCTGCGACGCGCGCCGTACGCCGGAGCATCCGGCCGGCGCGCGCAGAGCCGGGCCGGATGATGCAAGCGAAACACGGGGATGGAGGAGAGGGGACGGACGGGATCAAAAGAAGCGACAAGGTCTCACACACACACACACACACTCTCACACACACACACGCACTGGAAGCGAAACAGCATGGAGATGCGCATTGCTGTACTCTGTCCTTCTGAGGCACCACCTGCTGTTTGTCCGCCCCAAGTTTCGCACCAACCGGAAGCAAAGTTGCCAGCTGTGAATCCAAGCGGCATTCGATGACCCAATGTCGAAACTGTGGGAGGCGGGGCGCAGCTCAGCAATTACACCATCGGCCAAGAGGGTTTAGGAAGCTGGCTCCGACGCAAAAGTTCGTCTGAATCCACAAAGCTCAGCCCAAACAAATTGCAAGAGAGGTGGCAGAAAAGTGACCTGAACCCCAAAGAGCTGGGAAGGCCCAAAGCAACCAAACGTCCCTCAAATTGTCAAAGGCCCCAGGCCCAGTTCCCAGCAGCGAGGCCCAGCCAGACTTCCACCTGCAAAGGGCACGGCCATACCCCTCACATGCAGGAAAAACGGCATGCACCTGAGAATGTGGCTTGCATCCTGCGAGGTGTCAACATATAACAAACATATACAATACGTGTAAGAATGGATTAACTTACTTATTCTTATGTATACACATATGCACTCACTCTCGTGGTCTCTCTTACTGTAGCTACCCCACGCAAGATTTCCATGCTGAAGAACACTGATGAAGACAAGACATCCCTCAACATAGCTTGGCAGTGTAGCAACAGCCAGCAAACGCTTCAAAGAGATTGTGAAGCAGGTCTTCTTTCATTGCCATCTGAAGAAACGGACAGCCTGCATGTGCGCATTGCCCGGCAGCACCTTGGCGTGCTTGGGTGTATGCTCATACTCTGCTCTGTCTGCTGCCTGCACGAAATTAGACAAAGCTGCCGACAGGGTCAGCCACTTTCAGCGCATGTGTGGCAAGCCAGATTCAAGCCAGTGCCGGCCTAACACATTCAATACTCCAAGCAGTGAAGCCCTGATTTTCAATTTTTACCTCAAAAATGCGGTCGGACTCTTTCGCATTCTGCGTCGTAGCTTTCGCAGGGCCTCAGCATCCCACGTGCTTCCGGACCCTCAGGGTGACGAGCAGCGCCGAGGCCTGCAGGTGACGAGGTCTGAGGTGACGAGGTCGTTTCTTGCTGCGATAAGTAGGGAATGGCCTTCCGGATGTTGGGAATGAACGCAGGGGGTTCCCTGTGAAGGGAACTCACAAGGGGCGGGTTTAAGGATCATTCCATTTCACAGTCCCTGCTGAGCACCAGCAAGTCTGTTTTTCTTCACAGCTTACTGGGCCCTTTTGACATGCCCGACAAAGGCCTCGAGAAAGAGGACAACTTCCGCACGAATGATGACCAAAAGCCGCAAACATTGAAGTGCACGTGACTTTGCAGGGGTGTATATTTTTGAGGAGGTTGGTTTGAAGGGAAACGGCCGGAGAAACCGCAACTTTGAGGATCGCTGTAATGCTTTGACGCCCACCCACATGGCAGCTGGCGCCAGGTGCCGGGCAAGATGGGCAATCACTGCCACCCATCTGTATTGGAAGCTTCCTGAAGGCCAAGGCTGCACGTTCCGATTCATGCAGTCATCCTGCGGTTTGTGCTCGCCCAAAGATCTGAGTGCTGGCTGCATCTGCTTGGCGCTGCTTGCCGTCCATTCGGGGGGGGGGGGGGCCAATAGCTCAAGTGGCAGCCTGTTCCAGCGAACCAAAGAAAACAAGGAGTCGCACCATTCACTCAGGACCCAGGCAATTCCCCTGCCCCTTCCAATTTCCGACCCCGTCCATGCAGGCCCCAGTTCTCGAAGAAAAATGCCTCGGCGGGGATCACTTGCAAAACAGCTGGGTCAGTCAACCACAGCTGGCTGTAGCGAAAGGTGGGTGTAGCAGAGCTGATGCAGATATGTGCGTTGCTGTTGAACGGTTGGGACGTGAAGCCTCCATTCTCGCGGTTTTGCGGCCGAACCTTGCGCTTTGATCGGCTGAGTTCCCGCTTTTGAGATGTTCGACGGTCCGTCCTGATTTTCCTGGCGCTCAGAGGGCATCTAAACTGGGAGTACTGCCCTTCCCCCAATCAATATCACCTCTGGGGCACTATGGGCGAACCATGACTCATTAAATTTGGGCTGATCCATTCGGTGCAGGACATTGTCCCCCTGCAGAGTGAAAGTCACTCTGGCATGTGAGACCTCCATGACATAGTGTTTGACAAACACCGACCTGTGTTCATACTCATGCCATGGATGCTGGCACAGGCTGAAGCTCAGTAAAACCTGCAGGCTCAGGGCTTCTGCAATAGACTGATTCCATGCACCATAGACCTCTGAACGTCGGCTATCGCAGGGCCCCCCACTGGCGCTAGCTGGGCAAGGGCGCTCGACAAGCCCAGCGCCTGGCACATGGTGTTTGTCTGTGTGTGTTTTTCTTCCAGGTCAATCACCTCATTCCCAGCTTCGGCTGTACGCAAAGCGGGCCAGCTTCATGGGAGAGTTGCCCCCGGGGCCCGGATGGCCATGCTTGCAGGTCAAAAGCGATTAGATACAGGAGGGCAACTTCAAACAGCAGGACCATGTTTGCCTGCTCGACCTTGTGTAAACAAAGAAATGTCACACTTCTAACATCAGACTAGCAATTTTACTGACAACGTCGTGGAGGAACCTGAACTCCATCAGAGCAAGATTATAGGCTGGGTCAACATGAGATGTTGAGCCCATGAATTCTAGCTCGGTCTGGCGAAGTGCCGAGTCGGCCTAACACACGCTTTACCTCATCACCTAAGAAAGCGAATCTCACTTGCAACTTGGGATGTAAATCGGCAGCAAGCCGTCCGTTGCAATCCCTTTGCTACCGCTTAATCAGGAAGAATGCAAGGAAATGACACTACTTGTTCTAACTCCTTCGCCCATTCGCCTACTTCCAATGTCCAGCTGACCGATGAATATCGACCCAAAAGTCCCGGACCAAATCTGTCCGGTTCCTCGTGCTGATTCGAAACGCGCGGGTGCCGAGTAGCCGCGAATACAAACAAACAAGCAAGCAAGCAAGCAAGCAAGCAAACAAACACAAACACACAAACACGCAAACAAACAAACAAACAAACAAACAAACAAACAAACAAACAAACAAAACAAACAAACAAACAAACAAACAAACAAACAAACAATGAACCAACCAACCAACCAACCAACCAACCAACCAACCAACCAACCAACCAGCCAGCCAGCCAGCCAGCCAGCCAGCCAGCCAGCCAGCCAGCCAGCCAGCCAGCCAACCAACCAACCAACCAACCAACCAACCAACCAACACACACGCACACACACATGCATACATAGAAACATTCATGCTTCCTTCGATTGCAAATCCCAAAGCAGCAGGCCGGCAAAAGTCTTACTCCAAGAGACATTGCTCAGAACCTGCCGCAGAAGAACCCCGTGGCGACCCCTCGCTGAGCCCCTTTACACCCCCCACCTCCTCAATGCTGAGCTCCAGCTCCACTCCTCCAATGCTGCGGTGCAGGCAGACCTGGTGCCACATCGGCCAAACAAACGCGAACAAGCTTCCGAGGGAAAGGTGCCAGCGGAGTTCACCCATGCAGCCAGCCTGCACCTTTCCAAATGCACATGTGCTTGTGCACGCTGTCCATGTTTCCATATGTACACCATGAAAGCTGCCGGCAAAACTCTGTGCCACTCAAACATCCAAACTGACTGCGATCAGCGGGATTACCTGGACAAGTGTCGCCGAAGCAGCAAATGACAAAACAGCTAAATATGCAAATGGAGAATGCAGAACTGAAGAACCCTCAAGCATAGTCGCTTGGAATGCACCCAGAAACACTCTGAACAACTTCACTCCGAATGGCTGAGCTGGGCTGACCTATTGCCCCCTACTGTCGGCCGCAAAATTGGCGGGACACTTTCCTTCTCACGATCTCGCTGCTCTGAAGCTCTCTGATCCGTGCCTCTTCACTATGGAGCCTTCCTATGGAGCCTTCACTCGTTGTGTGCAACAGTGTAACTCGCAGCCCATGCAGCATGCATCTCTTGCTGAAATACAGACTTTGCGGGTGTGTGTGTGTGTGCGTTTGTCGCGAAAGGCCAGTTGCTGGAACATTGTACATACTAAAACACCTACGAACCTTATCCTCTCTTCAACCGGCCCGTATGTTGAAAACATGTTCCATCACCACGCTAGGATTCGCCAATAAAAAGCAGCACTGCGCATGCACCCCATACAGTAAAGACCGAAAGGGTGGCAAAGGGAGCCCAACCCAACAATGACGGCACAAGCAGCATGCCCGGCCATGCCGTTCTTCCAGCCCTTGGTGGTCTCCAATTGTCTCTGCTGCTGAATCTGGCCAGACAAATCAGCTCATGTGATCTGCAGGGGCCATGAGTCTCGAGGGGGCTGTCAGTGGCACGCTTGTGCCTAAGCCAAACAGAGTCCAGTCCAAAAAGATCAGGAAGCTCCCATTTGGCAACTAGCCATCAAGAAATCGCAGAGTGCGACAGCTTTGCAAAGGTTGAGAAGGCAGTCTGCCCATATGCCCATATCGCAGTTCGTCTCCTTTCTCCGGCCTAGATATCACAAGACTAAAAGGAGATCAAATGCTTCTTTCCCAAACGAGCGAAAGGCGAAAGGCGCAAGCCGGGAGTGCCATCTGATCCGCCCAGTGCCAAAGCACCAGGGCGGCTCCCGTTGTGAGGGCGCAGAGCGCTGGCGCCACTACCTCACCCAGAGATGCCGCAAGCCTCGCTGCGATGGGAGCCCTGGATGAATCAACTCCTAGGGGACGAAGAGGGGGGGTCCCATTCAAGAGTGATGGCATGAGCAAGATTGACAAGATTGCTCAAAACAACATCGGATGCATCGCTCTTCAACAGGGTCGCGCGCCGCGCCCCAAGCACAAAGGGACGACGGGGTGCTGGACCAGGGGGGTACTTGCCATGCCTGAGCTAATTGCTGCTTGGTGTGACATGCGAAAAAGAAACGGAGATAAACCATATTAAGCCGTTAATCAACTTAGACAACTGACACCCCGCAGGTCTTGCTTGGGAATAAGACGCTGCGAATCTCTGCGTGACCCTTGATTTGCCGACTGCAAGATGCCGAGCGGCAAACAAGCTCACCTGAGCGCCCGAGCCAGCGCAGAAAGACAAGGCCAAACAGAGAGGTCAAGAGCTTCAGCAAGTACCTGCGGATTTACAGCTGTGGTGTCACTCCCGCCTGCTTCAAGTCTCAGGTGTTGCTGCTGGCTATGTGCTGATGGCCCCTTTTGCCTACCACTTGCAAGCTGTACCAGCGTGACCCGCTGCTTTTGCGGCGGTGCAGGGAACGTCCGGCCAAGCATGCCCAAACCAAGCAAATCAAGTGGCCAGGGTCCTAGGTGAAAATCACTCCCTGCTTCCAGCCCAGAAGCTCATGTCTTCTCCTGGCCATATCTCAGCACCGCCCGAGCCACTGGCGACTCTGCCCAGGAGGTGAGCTGGGCTACCCTTGCATGCAGGGGCGGCTGGAGTGACCAGTACGATGCAGGCAGCACAGAGTTCAAATACTCAGCTTGTCGGATCAGCTCATCCGTGCCCAGCAGGGCGGCTGTGGCAATGTCCTGCGGTGTGCGGGCCGCCGTGATCATGGCTCGCATGGCCGCTTCCAGGTCGCCCTCGGCAGCTACCAGGCCCAGGCGGTCAGCAGAGAAGGCCTCGGCCCGAGCCTTGGCAGCCCACAGCCCCAGGCCCCACGTGCCCAGGCGCAGGCACCGCCGCAGCTGGCGCTCCTCCGTGTCCGACAAGTCCAAGGCCTCCGCTGCCAGCCGCGGCACCGCGAAGCCCGCCGCCGCCGTGACCAGCGCCTGGGCCCCGCCCGGCGCCTTCAGCTTGGCGCACATCGCCGCCGCCGAGTCCACCCGCGTGACCGGGAGCCGGCCCAGCCCCAAATCCAGATCCGCCAGGCCCGGCCAGCTGCCGGACCGCAAGCCCCGGAACACGTCGCAGGCATCGGCCACTGTGTCCAGGCACCGCTTGAGCAGCAGCCAGTGTTGGGCTTGGCCATGTTTTGGCTTCGGCTTGGGCGCAGGCTCAGAAACTTTCGGCTTCAGGCCCAAGACGGCAAGAGGGAAGAGAACCACGTCGCGCGTGAAGTGCTGCAGCACCCACCCAGCCCCTTCCGTGTGGTGCAGCCATGCCTGCCCCATCTCGCGGCCCAGCAAAAACCGCAGCTCGGCATCACCCAGCTGGGCCACGACGGCGTCAGTGGCCATCAGCACTCTCTGGCGCCCAAATTTGGATGGCAAGATGCCCACTCGCAGCTGAGCACTGCGAACCAGGAGCGTCTCTGGGCAGGGGCTGTCGGTCTCGAAGAAGCGCTGCAAGGCTCGGCAGCTTTCCTCCGAGGTCTTTCTGAGAACCTGCGCGGCAGGCACTGAGCAGGCAAGCAAGGACACGGCTCACGAACAATTCCCATGCGCGGCCATCAACTGAATAGTAAATGTGGTTTAGCTTCATTTGGCCAAGGGCTTTCTGCAGACTCTGTCGCTCACTCGCCCCTGCCTCCGTTAAATCCGCGCTCCGGCCCCCCCGCATCCTGTGGTCCACAGCCATGATCTGTGCCTGCAGCCGGAAGTGGAAACGCACCGGCCACAGCAGCATGGCACCTCAGACGGCGTTCTCGGCTTCCGACCCGGCCAAAGGACCGCCAAACGACCCAACGGGTGGCGCCATGGTCCTAGTCCGCGACAAGCAGCCGACACAACTGGCCAAGGGCTCCAACAGCGTCCAGAAGGGGAGCAGCATCAAATCTCCGCCCTTGTCCAGTGGATGCTGGACCTGCAAGCCAAGCCCAGCCCGAGCTTAAGAAGTCAAGTGTCCGGTCTGGGAAGTCAGCAGAAAAGGATAAGAACATGGTGGTACCTTCTTCACCCTTCACTGGGCATTTTGGCTTTGGCCGTCCAGGCGCGCCTTGAGGGTTCCAGTTAGGTCGGTTCTCTCAATTAGACCCCAAAAACGGAGCCGTGAAAAAAGACATGGGCGGTTGGTTTGATTGGATACCTACACTTTGCAGCATCAAGCCCAAAGCCTACCTTGGCACCGGTCCTTTCAGAGCCTGGGGCCTTGAAATCTCAGCTTGCTAGGGTCCACCCACGCAAGTGGTCCTTGGAGCACTGTCATTGCCAGTGAATAACCGGACCTTCGAACCCCTCGCAGTCCGTATCTTCAGAATTAGACGCTCCCAACAGCGTTCTGGCGATCCTCACATGCCCACCCACGCGCCCGGCATCCGCACCTCGTCGAGCGCGATGAAGCAACTCACTGACCATGCTGCCAGACACCTCAAGCGGCCACAGGAACACCAGCATGTCTTGATTATCTTTAACGCTGTTGGGCTGAATGAATTGCACGTGATAATAGTTGAACAATAATTTAAAGTCAAAGCAGCCATCAAGACACTGAAATCTAAAACTTGGTGGGGGAAGCAAATGGAGCACATCTAAGCAGGTTGGCCTGAATAGTGTCCAAACATGCCGGAACCCCCCCCCACAACTACGACAAATCTTCCACCTCTTCCCAAACTCACTTCTGCTTGCAGCCTGGCTGAACCAAGCAAGCCACCCCAGCAACGCAAACGTGCACGGCTCGCCCTCTTGGGTCCCGGCGCGAGCGCAACGGCCACCTTTGCGCGCGCTTCAGGTCTCAAGCCCCCTACAAATCCCATCCGACCGCGATGAAGCGGACAATGGGCACATGGCACTCCTGGCCTTCCCTGAAAAGCATCACCAAGACCCGGGCCCCTGGGGTGAGCAAAGTTCAGATGTACTTTCCAATCTGTGATGGGCAAGCGAAATCAGGGCATCCCGTGCCCGGGCCGCGTTGTGCGGCCCAGCACAAACTGATGGCAACGCATATTCTTCCTGCTTGTGACGAACGATGAACAAAGGTTCAGAGATGAGGTAGAGGAAACATCAAAACGAAATCGGATGCATGTTTGCAGCTATTGCTTGCGGCTGCCAAGCATCAGTGTTTAGCCCGACTGCCCTGGGCCTGTTCCGCATTTGCACTGGCTGCTCTTCACCACCAACGTGTTTGATGCGCAACGCCGCAGGGCAGTGATCTTACTACGCGATATGTGGCATTCCTCGCTCGAATGCAGAGATAAGTGCCTGCAAAAGTACGCGGCCTATCGCTTGTTATGTTGCATGGCCATGACGCTGACTCGATGGAAACCTGCTAGACATATGTGGCCCCTGACAGGAACACAACCAGCTATTACACACAAAATATGATTCCGCAAATCGGAACGGCCTGCAACGATGCCACGCCTTTGCGTTCCCCCAACCAATGCTGCCTGGCTGCGCCAAGGCCGCCCCTTTTCCGTGGCATGGCGGTCGCGCGCTCCCAGAAAAAGGGATTCCCGGGATGCCTGGGAGTCGAGGATGGCTGAGTTCTGTGCAGCCCTGTCATGGAACCCGATCGCGCCGTTCGGTGGAACAACTTCAAGGTTGCCAACTTTGATTCATTAGCCAAAGGGACCTAGCATTTTCAGATCTGAGACTGGGAAGGACGCAGGAGTGAGGGTGCTTTCTTTGGTTTGTGCTGCTGGGAATCTATGTGCAGCTCCTTTGTGCGCATCCCTCCCTCGGGGAGGCGCTTCGAGCTGCTCTGGCTTCACCTGTCCGCCGGTGGTTCGAAGCTGAAATGGCACAGCGGGAGGACAGCTGCAGAAAGCATGGCACAAAACCTACGCACTCAAACCCAGTGTGCTGGCAAGTGTTCGGCTTCTTGCGTTCCAAACCCCACCAAAGCCGCTGAAGCTTCCAAATACAACCCCACCCCCTTCAGCCCAAAACCCCGTACCCCCATGTCTCATATGGCTGTGGGTCAAAACCCTGTACCCCTGGTGAACATCAGCACAAATGCCAAATGGATGTTCATCCACCCCAAAATGGAGCCATAGGTTTTGCCCCACGTCTCATATCTCCGAACACGCTGTTGGCTTAGCTCCCGACCACTTGTGGCACGCCCAGCTCTCTGGCCTCAGCGGGGAGCACAGAACTTGCTGCGAGTGGCAGCGTCGTACACATGTATCGCAGGATTGTGCGATACATATCTATATATATATATATACGTATATATAGATATATATTTATACGTATATATGTAATATACACATTTGTTCTGCCTTTCATGAAGCAACTGCATAGTCAGCATGCCTGCCTTCCTGCCACGCCCGCCTGCCACCCTGCCACCTTTTCGTCTTGTTTCTTTGCTGGCTGATAGCAGTGACCCCAAGCAAGCATCAACTTGGTTTACTCAAAACACAAACATAACATCCGAGAGCTATTTTGCTCCTGCGCGTCATGCAGGCGTTTACGGGACTGCCGAGACGTGTGTGATGCATGCTTGCCCGGGAAGGTATGAAAAACAGGTGGAACCCCCCAAGAACACGAGAGTGAGTTCCTGTGATCCCTTTAAGGCAAGCTTTAAAGAGGCCGCCCTCAAGAGAACACACACACACACACACACCAACTAGTCCCCCCTCCTCTCGCCAGATTGGGGCCAACGCGCCGGCTCACCTGCGGGCAATCGGCACTGCACCCCATCGCGCGGTGCTCAGGGGAATTTCGGGGGCCAGCAAAACGCTCGCGGGGGAACCAGCGCAAGGAAAACACCTGAGCGACGTTCAAAAGGTCTTGTTCAAATCTAGGTCGTAAGGAACTCTTTCGCCAAGGTGCTTGCGCGAGCTTACGCGCAATACAGGTTTTCCCACACGCGCTTGCACTTATAGAAGCTTCCCTTGCGCAAACCTTGCGCGCGGCTCGCGCGAAAACAATTCCTTACGAAACTGGATGGTTTCCTTACGCCCGCTTTCGCCACACACGCACATGCACGTCCCACCGCACCCGTCTACACACATTTTGCCCCCGGTTCCTTTCAGCAGCTGGGCAGGTTCGAGCCCGAGACCTTTACCGGACCTACTGAGACATTCCAGGTGCCCAAAACCAAAAACAAATTATATAGCGGCGCGCACTAATCCGTTTTTGCGTTTTCCCCAGCTGCTAGCTACCTAGCCTCAAAACACATCAGCAGCAAGTTTTACTGCCACTGCCAAATGACTACGTAAAGCCACCAAAACAATCCAAACCGCTTACGCGACAAACTTTCCTCAAGACAAAGCTTGCACGGCCTTACGCCGCCACATGTTTTCCTTACGCAGGGGGCCCTTATGCCCACCCCCTTTCAATCGCAATACAACCAGGTTTTGAACCCTGCTCCAGTTGGGATTGTCTCTCACTAGGGTGTACTCCAAAGATGGGTGGTTTCTGCCCTTTAACTCCAAGCAAAAAGGGGTTCCCAACAAAGCACCCCCGTATCAAAACATAAAACATGACTTGCCCAGTAGCAGTGCAACACCAAAACGCACAGGAACTTCTTTCTGTGGTCGGCGCTGCGCACAGCGGCCTCCCTCTCGCAGGCGGGAGTCTTTTCTGCACGTTTCCAGTTCTCTGGTATATTCTGTCAGCGCGCCTAGCAGCCTCCCATACAGAGAAGTGCCAGAGAGCATTCGTTGCTGTCACTCAAACACATCCGATGCGGCACCACATTGGAGACTTTGGAGGCGAGCCAGCCCATGCTCACGTTTAGCTCTCCGTCCACTTCGGAGGGCAGCCTTGCGATTTCCTCTCGGGAGCCCTCCTTTGGTGAAACACCTTGTCACCCTTGGCTGTGCCTTCCTGGCAAATCCCACAGCCACAGCCAGAATCACGACTCGGTGAGCCAATGCGCACCTCCTGATACTCGGCTACCCTGCGTGCTTGTCTGGTCGACATGGTTGGGCATACTGAATTCTGCCTTGGGTCACTCGCATCTTGGCATTTTGGAGCGTGACCATTGGGATCCCCCATCCGGCTGTCAACAAGTGACACATTTTGTTTGAGGTGCTGCAAGGCATTTGGTGCCCAACCCGCCACACCAAGGAAAAGATGGCCCGCCGGCCGCTGCGCTCGCAGCCCTGGCGAGGGAGGAGCGGAGCGAGTGTTGCTCCGCCTCAGAGCTCAAGGTACCTGGGCAGCGATGCGCACAGCGCCGAGCCCCTTTGGGGGCTTCTCACCCTGCGCCTTCAATGGACAATTAAACACCCTGCAAGGTCCAGAAAACACCCAGTCCCCCCAAATATCATCGCCAAAGGCGCTCATATACTTTTTCGAGTCAGCATCACTCATCGAGTCAGAATCAGGGTCCAGAACTTCAGGGCACACATGAATCGCCAAACCAAAGCAGCGCCAAACCAAAGCAGCACCTCAGTCAACCTAAATCGGTTTGGCCGTTCACTGCACCAATTTGAAGGGAGGGCTTCATGCCAGCCGCGTATGGGGCAGTGCAGCACGGGGTGCCGGAGAGGCTGTTGCCGGTGGAGATGCATCCGCTTCATCATAGGACTCCTGGCCACAGCAGCCGCAGCCCTAAAATGGCTGTGGGTCAAAAATTCGGGTAAATGGAACCAATGACTAAAACCTGCAGTCCCCTTACCCAAATTACTTTTTCGCCAAGCTGGAAGCTTAGAATTTGCCCCCCTGGTCCGTGTGGGAAACTTAGTGAGTTCTTCCATGTCCCGAAGCAGATGAACCAGAATGCTGGAAGGTTTGACCAAGCCTCCTCGGGCAAACGTGCCTTTCGCCGTGTGCCCGTCTCAAACTGAAATTGGGACACAGCACAGCCATTTGGCATTTGAAGCCAGGGGGCGAAAGTTCGGTTCATTGAGGCTGTGTTAGCTTGGAACCGCCAGTGACCGGACAACTGCCCGGAGACGTGGCCCGTGGCTCGCGCTCGGAGTCACACTTCCTTCCCGTTTTCCTTGGGCGCAGACGCAGCTGACCCATGTGATCCCTGCGATCCCTGCGATCCATGCGAACTGCTTCACCTCTCCTGCACTTCGCCCTCCCGCTTTGTGGGCCGATCATCCTCGGCCAGGAGAGCGAAGATCTCCGCCTTGGAGATCAAAAGCCGAGCTGGCGCCAGCGAAGGAACACACCAAATCGGAATCGGAGGTGGCATCGCACAAGGAGCTGCAACACACATGGGGCATGATGGCCTCACAGGCCAGAAACTGCCCAAAAAGCGAGCGGAGCACCGCTGCTCCTATAGTCTCTCCTTACTTGCCGCACCCTCAGTCCTCAGCCGCATTGCAAACAAGTTGCCATAACCTCATCTGGCGGGTGCTCCTTGTTCTTGATTGCCAATGAGATGGCCTCCTTGAAGACGCGCACCACGTTCGTGCCATCTGCACAGGACACCTGAGCCCAACAACCGGGCTTCATGCGCAACTTGATCAGACTCTAACGTCATACCTCGTCCAAAGAACAATCGTTCAAAACAGATGCTTGTTTTGACCAACAGGGATCTTCCCATTGATCGGCAATTAGGCAGCGGCAGCACCTTCTAAGAACCCCAAAGCACTGGACACGTTGGCTACACGGATTAGGCACTAGAAAACATGGCATGCATCTTCCTATCCAAACGCTGGCGTGGCATAATGGCTTTGACCCGCCAACTCGAAGCAATTTTCCGCCACTCACCGCCAAGTCATGGGCCGTGCCGGGTCATCCGTTGCATGTTCCGATTGTCATTCTGCACTTCAGGACCATTCCTAGCTTCCGGTGCTGAAACGCATGGGTGCCTTCAAAATCAGGATGGTGGCAGTGAATAGTCCAAGGACAGATGCAAACAAACATGAACATGTTCCACCCAGACAAGCCATTTCACAACATGCCCCAGGAGCCAGGCTATGGAAACACGTGTCCTCTCAGAGCCGCTCTTCCAGCTCTTCACGCCATGTGGCAAAGTAGAAGGGCAGCTGATGAGTCACTGGGAAGTTGAAGCGCTTCTTCGCCATGCCGGGCTCCACATCGATCTTGTTGGCAACGCAAACCACCGGGATGTCCGGACCTCAAAAGTATTACAAGAGTATTACGTTGGAACATCAAGATGAAAGCCTCCTGAACAATTTCAATGTCCCTTGATCCTGAACAACAAATTCAATTGTCAATGTTCCTTGATCCTGCTTCGGCATAACGCCAACAAATCAGTTTTCCTTCTGTTTCACTTGCAGGCAGTGGCGCCCATGACACAGCATTGCCCCACATGCATTGAACAACTCACGAGGGCCACGTACGGAACGGTGCTCGCTGCCAAGCCCGTGGTGCTGAAGCTACTTCAGAAGTCACAAGATAAGCCCCAGAATGGGGGCTGCGAAGCTGAGACAGTCCCTCTCACGCGGCAGCTAAATGATGGCAAAGGCCCTTGGTCGCTTCTCATACCGCCTTGCGTAGCAAGCAAACTGGGGCGCGAACAGTGGTTCCGAATTTCTTTGTACCACCTCGGCAGGTCACTCAACTTGGGCTCAAGCTGCTCATGAGCCAGGGAAAAACGGATTTGACGCAGGACGCATTGAGGTCCCGTCGTTTCCAGGTTTTTGTATGTGATCTTCCGCGTCACGTCAAAGGCCAGGATGCAAGCATTGGCCTGAACCCACTCAGAGCAAGATGCCATGGCGCTGACTCCCGCGAATTCTTTGGCTCTCAAGCACTGCTCCTAGAGCAAAGGCAAGAAAGCCGTCTGTTTCCCCTTCTTCAGGGGCAGTCTAGATCCTTGCAAACGTCAATCTTGGGCAACGGTGTTCTCGAACCCCCGTTGGCCCAGTCCTCCCTTGAAGGTCCTTGCAAATGGACCTACCGATCCGTTTCTCGAAGTGGCGGAATTTCCCTTGCCTGGAAGTAGTAGGACGCATGCAGCTTGGCAAACTGCTCCTGCCCTGCTGTGTCCCAGAAGTCTATGGCCCATCTTCTGCCGTCCTCGCCGCAACACATGACGGGGGGTTCTCAAAAAGGTATACGGTAGACCCCTTTGTGGATGGTTTCAAAGGGAAACCAAGGGGAAGGACGACCATTGGGTTCCCCTGTTTGGACAAAGCCCTCAAGCGCATCGTCTCTGGCACTACAGAACTCCGCCGAGACAACTGATTACACTGCCGAGGCCTGTGTTGTCAAACCTAGGTTCGCAGGCCATAGATTAAAGAGACCCGACTATCTGTTGCTCTGCATCTCCCATGCCCTATTGGCCAACCCATTTAAAGAACTGGATTTTCCCTCGAAGTGCCAACCATGGCCCACCAACGATCCTCAGCGGTATAGTTGTGTCGGAAGAGCGTGAGGGCAAAGGTGGAAAGCGTCCGGGGATTGTAGTCATCCTCGGCCCGAAAATGCTTTCGCCGGCTGATTCTTTGACTCAAGCTTCGGAAAAAACTCTGCACCTACAACAAGGAAAACCCTGCTGATGACAGCAGCAGGTGAAGTAAAGCCCGGGCCTAGGGAGCCTGGCTTTTTGCAGCTTTATGACTAGTCACCAATTTCCAGCTGCAAGATGTCAGCTCACCCAGTTGATGCAAAGGCGAAGTGCATATTTGGGTGAAAGCCCACCAACTGAGGATTATTGGTCTCACCCGAATGGAGAGCACAAGGATTCCCCCTAGCAGGTGCCAAAATCTATCCAGCACTGCCATCAGCACCCCTCCTACTCAAGCACTTGTTGGCAACTGCTGCAAGCTGGGTAAGGTTGCCACCCCCCGCCCCCACAGAAAGAGACATCTTGTCAAGACGCCTTTCTGCAACTGCCCCAACAGCTTCCTGCGGGCCTTCCTTTCGAAGAACACCAAAGGATGTGTGGCATGGACACTCGAGGCTATTTGCCAGACACTCTAAGAAACCAATACCCTCAAATCAAGGAGGTTGCAGCATGGATCCTATGTGTCCACAAGCGGGGGGATGGATCCCCAAAAACGAGGCACACCACCACTCCCTGCACTTCTTCTCTGCCTAGTGGCGAGAAGGAACCTCTCCACCATCTTGGACTTGCCAACGGCGGAGTCGCCACAAAGGATGATCTTCAGATCCTGAGTTGGGTCCAGCAACAAACCTGAACATTGAAGTGGCTAAGCAAAAACCATGCAACGAATCAAAGCACCCTCGTTGGGACCGACGCACAAGCAAACCTTCATCCACCCAGTTCCGGGTTCAGCGGTGGCTCAGTTCCGGGCTCAAAGGTGACTACTTGTCCTTTGGAGATAAGGATGGAACATTGCGCCCATTGAGGCCTATTTGGCAAAGTGAGCCATGTTGTTTGCATCAGTTCGGGCTTGCCTGGGGTCTTTGCATTGGGGGGTGTAGTTGTTTCAAAGTTGGTCTGCGCCTGAGCTGGTTTCAAAGGACCTTTGGGCAAAAAATGCCGCGGCAAGGCCTGGACGGGAACGCTTTTCACCAAATACCTGTCTTTGTGTGCTGTTTGCATCGAGGATGTTGAGCCAGTGGAGTCTGGGGTGCTGCTCTCTGAGGTTGCTGTTGAGCCCGAAACTATCGAGGGTTGGTTCGGCAGTGGTTAAGACCAAATTGACAAGGGTTGGCAGAAGGTGAAGGGTGAGTGCAAGGCTGGTTCACCATCGCCAACCAGTGCCCCGTGCGAGCCTCTCAGGCCACTGCGAGACCTCTAGGGGACAGAGTTCGCAGGAGTTGTTTCACAATTGGTTCCAAAAGATTCCAGGTATATTGCACACCGACCCCGGGGGAAATAAGGAGCAAGGCCGGAAAAGCAATACCCCAAGCTCTAGCTGAGCATCCGCAGGAGACTGGTCATCTTCAGCCAAGGGCGAGGGTGGCGGCGCGGGCTCCGCCATGGCGGACGAATTCACCGGCCGCCCCGGCGGCGGAAACTCGGGAAGCGGACCGCGCGGATGGGGACCGATGAAGTGGGCAACTGGTGCTGAAATGAGCCCTTGGCAAATAAGCAATCAGCCCCGAACGGGCGGATTCCTCGGGGGAACTTGCACTTGGCTGGAGCCCTGACCTGCAGAATGCACGTGACACGAGGGCGCCGCATGGCCATGCAAGGCGGCGAAAAGCCAATGAGCCCAGTAAATAACGAAAGAGCAAACCAAACTCCCGCGCACTCAACTCTGTTGCATCTAGACAATTGGGATAAGTGGACAATCCAAGACATATTGTCTAATGTCTGGCGCAGGCGGGCTTTCGGCTGAACAACTGGAGAGACACCCATTTCCAATGCACCAGGTGGAACGCACAGCCGCAAGCGGAGTTGAGCATGCATCACGCAACAGCCCGAGTCCGAGTCCTGCTCAATCAACAAGGGTGTCCGAGTATCGGCCTCCCATGCCGCAGATTTGTCCAGCACCTGCTTGAGTCTCTGTGTTTTGCTTCTTTTCCCCCGTGGGTTTCAGCCCCGCCTGCTTCCAGCCTGGGGCTGGCATGCCTTGGCGCCGGCCGAGGCCGGGACGAGCCCCCGTTGGGTTTGTCTCGGGGACGGGAACCCCGAAATCGCTGGCCTGCTCTTGGCGTCCCTTTAGCCCAACCGCAACAAAGCGCACGCCCACAAACCGACACATCCATCTTCCTGCGCAAAAGAGGACACACGATTGAGCTTCTACTCATGACAATCGATTCCCCCGATCCGACAAGGTCAAGGCACCAGTCAGCAAGAGTCATTGAAGAGAATCTGGTGGATCAGGCAAAAAGGCCAATGCCGAAAGAAGGTCCAGCGAAGTCACTGACCTTCAGATTTTAACTTTTCAGCCGCCAGGTGAGAAAGCGATGTGCGATCGCGATCCCGCCATCTGCACCAAGGTGCGGCGAAAGCGGACTGGGCTTCCACTGATCCCTGGCGTCGCTCGGATTCACTCATTCGATGTCCCTATGTTGGTTTTGGTTTGCATGGACCAAGGTTGCTGAAGGGAAATGGAATCACTTAGAAAGGCAACGATGTGTGGATTCAAGCAGCCAGCCATCTGTATTGCACGTGCGCGCAGGTTGTTATTGGCCAGTGGAGCTAGACAGTGAAACCTCTTCACTTCCAGGCACCGCTTTCAATTCAGCAAGGGCCGTGTTTCTGAGACCAGCCTTGTGTCTTTTTTTTGCATGAAATCACGTTCAGTGACGACCCAAGTGCGATTCGAATGGTCCCCCTTGACGTCGCTTGAAGATGGCGGAACACATCCTGCAAATTTCGGCTGTGCTTCTTCAATGCTGGGCCTTCTTTCCCAGCTGGTCCACCTTGACCTCATGCCAAGTGCGCAACGCTGGGACGCTCTGCGCCCCTCCTCCTTGCCAATGTGCGGTCATGTCCGTGGAATGGAAAGCAGTTGGCCCTTCAATTGCAGATGTGTGAGATGCAACTGGCCTTGCCAGGACTACACCTAGGGCCCAGCACTTGACCCTAGGCTCAAGCACCTATGGGTAATGGTTACCAAACTTTGAGCAGGACTTCTGCCACCCTCATCAAAAATTCGGGACTGCTTCCCACTGCAAAGCCACCAAGTTGGGGAACTCCAACTATGTCGAAAAAGAGCCCTGCCATAAGACTTGTCGCTGCCCATGACAACTGTAAAGTGCAGGCACTCCGGGGGACCTACCCAGCTTCGGACTCAGATGCCGAGGCGATCTCACCTTCTTCACCTTGCAAGCGCCGGGGGGGGGGGGGGTTGGCCTCATGGTGAGCAAGTCGTCGCTTTGGTTCTCAGACCCAACAGCTGAGCCACCTGAACCGAGCACCTGGCGCTCTCGCTTGGCCCGGGGCTGGTCCCTCAGACGCTGCAAGGCCTGGCGGACTTGCGGACTCGCCACGTGGCCTGAGACTGCAACAAGCCAACGGCGAAAACTTTAGGGCGGCCTGGATCTGAATGAATCAATCCTTGCAATAGAGCACCTTTTGGCTTCGTAAGCCGCTGGCCTCTCGAGTCTTCTGCTCAGTGTCCTGAGCTCGAGTTTTGCCGCTGCGCAAGTTGATACCCCGCTTGGTGAATGCCCCAACCCCGGGGAAAGGAAATCTACGCGTGAAGACTTCAACCGAGGCTTCCGCCATCTGCCACTTGGAGAGCTTGCCGCCATGGAAAGCCCTGCACAGCGCGAGATCAAGCGAGGACAAACATACCAACTGGAGGACTACAAACTTGGCTGCACAGGTTGTGAGCCCCAAAGGAACGCATTGGTGCTCCTCCAAGCGTGGCCCACCAGCCGCGCTTCCAACCATACGCGTCCAGGAAAACACATATTGTCATATTGTTTTGAAGCCCGGGCCAGGGCCCGCTTGCGCCAACGAAACCAAGTGGAACTAAGGATTGATGTCGCATACGCTGCAGACCGTGCAGCTCTGAACCAGCTGGACCTTCCCAGTGGAGGTCTAGATTGGAGCGGGGTCAGGATTCCCCACAAGCACGTCTGAACTTCAAATGGCTTATGCAAAAAGAGGACTTTCAAGCAAATTCTTCAACAAATGAGGTCATCCAGACTTACTGGCCCAGAGGGCGCATAAACACAAGCACCTGAAACAGCTGCGGGCCCACCCAACTCTGTCCGCAACTTGGCCCCCGCACGCTGAGGAGGAGGAGCTATTGGTAATCAAGTCCTTCCAAACACCCCCCGCGCCGAGCGTGAGGCGTTGACTCCATGAAATCAAGGAGGACACAGCGTAAATCCCGAGCAGCATGGGTCTGACAAAAGGGCGAACAGCGGAACAAATCACTAGCCAGGCCATGTCCAATGTCAGCGACGGTTCAGCGTCCTGGGTATCCATGAGGGACATGAGGAGCCTCAATCAGCTTGGCCCAACTTACAAAACCTCCTGAGCAAAAATGGCTAAAAAATCAAGAGGCCCCCAACTCGTTGGCTGCCCTTTGGGCGAAGACCACCGCAAGCCAAAAGGTCTGCATCAGCAGTTTGTTCGCGGGAGGCTCCCCACGAGTTCAAGGAATCCTGCAGAATCTATGGAGCCCAAGCGCAGGTCAACAATGAAGCTTTCCCATTTGGGCACAAGCCCCCTCCGAGTGTCAATTTCGCAAGCAATAACAAGCAATCATACCGTCCATTTGCTCAAGTCCCCTGGAAGAATATGAACAGTTCCAGTAGTAGTGATAGATTCCCTTTAAAACCAACGGGGAGAAAACTAGTCTTATGCAAATGCAAGATACACATGGGCCAAACAGCAGTCAGAACACCGCAGTCCGTAGATCACAAAAACCAGCTCACCGCTGCCTGAGCTCCAGGCGGAGCTGCTGTCGCAGGCTTCGCCTGAGCCCTTGGATCTCCTGACCAAACTCCCAGGTCAGGCTGAAACCTTTGATCCGGAATCCGGCCTATCTTCATAGTATCCCTCACCCAGCTTCGGTTGGCAACACCTGTTGAAACATCCTTTTCCCTGCACGGCCTCAACTGGCCATGGGTCAAAATCCCGTACCCCAGTCAAACATCCCAATCCCCACTAAAATAGACTAAAATGGGTGATGCACCTACCCCAAAATGGGAGCCCATTGGTTTTGACCCACAGCCAACTCTGCTCCAAGGTATTGCACGCACGGCGGGGTCCTGGATCTGGCCTGCAACCGACCGGCTAAGAGAAACCTCAAGCTCTGCCCATTCCTGATAGATGCTGATATCCTGACATTCAAACCATTAAAACAATGGGGGTTCATACAACCACCATGATTTACCTAAGGATTGTCATCATCTAAATTGGGTCAGCCTTTGTTTTACAGGGGGTTGAACCCCAGGGATTGGATCCCTTCCGCTTTGCGCTTTGGATCTCCGTGCGAGCTCCTATGTGTCTACCTTCATGTGTCCAGGAATGGCTGGTGCGGTCCCTATCATGCATGACTTTTTGTTGTGCTTGTTTCTTCTCCGGCGTGCACCATGTCTCCATGCGCAGCGGCAGAATCACCAACCTCAAGGACCAAGGAAGTGTCAGCCTATTCAAATTTGGCCTTGCTCGGATTTTACTTCGTGGGACACCTGAACAAAAGTCCCATCAGAAATTGCAAAGTTTGTTGGAAGGAATCGATGGAACAATGATGCGTGAGTGACTGAGCATCAGCCAGCACCCACGGCTGGAAAGCAGGCGGCAGGCACAAACCAGAAGTAGCTGACCTTTGCGCAGCAGATGTCCAAGGGAACCACTTGTGATATTTATGGTGGCCGAGGAACCCCAACGGACCCCTACGGTGGGGATCGACCGGCCTCTGCTTTTGGATGTGCATCGCATCTTACGGACCCACTGGCCACCAAACAGACTCTTTTTTTGTTGCTTCCTTTTGCTCAACAGGCTGAGGCACAGTGTTGAGGAAGGGTCGATGACACCTGGCCAATTTCAGCCTCGCGCCGGAGAACTTACCTTCGCTCACAAGGTGTCAAGTAACTGCAGCCCTGGAAGCGTGCCTGATCGTGTTCAAGCTGGGGAGCGCGGGCAGGACCGGCAGGCCTGGCAAGATGGAGTATTTACTTGCACCTAGCTCACTCCTAGCTGGCCTCACGGAGACTTGCTGGTGCGCATCAAGGCAACTGCTCTACCAACATATTAAGCAATCAGGACTGAGCATGCTCAATGGCATTGCAGTCACTGTTATGACAGGTAAGGGTGTGTTCTCTTTCTGTTGGCCCTTTTAGGTGTGGTTTTAACGGGAACCCGAAAAAGCTGACCATTTTGGGGGGGGTCCGCGTTTTGTTTTTTTTTGAGACCCAACCGGAGCATTGAATCCCAAGCTGGCCTCTCGGCTCTAGGCCCGAGCTGCTCGGTGTGGATGGGGTCAGGTCTCCGGAAAACACCCTGCCATGCGCCAGGGTGACACGTCTCGATGCTGCAAACTTCGCCAGCGATTGTTGCAGATGGGCAAGTGGATCCAGCGATCTTGGAAGCTCTGCAAGTGGGACCCGATCGACCTTCTCGTTTGGATGGTTAGACCATGGTTGGGCTCCCTTCACATTTGATGCTTTCCGATCCCGAGGCTCTCTGTCTCTCATTTTGTGGGCAACGGTGTATCTGTGGGGGGGGGGGGGGTTCCTACGCAAGCATCCACCCAGCTACAGCGCAGCTATAGAGCACTCTCTGCCCTGCCCACCCCGTTCTGCCCAAGCGGGGCGACAAGAAGGGCTGCCTCGGCAAGCGGGCAAGAGCGCTACAAGACCCAGCTAAAGCCCAAAGCCTTTGCTGTTGACTGGTCGCGTCAGACACCTCCTATCGGTGCTCCCTTGGCACCAGAAAGCTCAAGCCAGTTGAGAGATCTTCTGGTTCTCGTCCCTTGCCGTTCTTAGAAACTTTGGCATACGTGCTAGCGCCTGGCGCAGCCTAAATGCAAGCCGTCAGCAGACATCTGTGGCAAAACTATCTGCTGGCTCCAGTCTGTCCGTCAGGCCGCGACCGGTTCACATTGGCAGAATCCTGCAGGGCGTCTGAAACTAAATTGATAGCTGGAGCTCCACGTCATGGAGTCCGCAAAGACGAAGCAGGCACAAAGGAAAGAAGCAGAGACTGGCTGCTGAAGCCTAAGCATTGATGAAGCCATACTTATCCTGCCCAACAGAGACCGTTCTGCCTGCGTTAAGCTTCTGCAAGGAAGCCCCAACACAAATCCGCCACTTTGCAAGCCTCCATCCTGCATCCTGACCACCTTCAAGCATTGAAACGTGTTGCAACAGCCAAGCCCAGGGAAATTCAATGCCTTTCACCCCGAAATCCCCACAACACTTGATAATCAAAAATAATTGCATAAAAGAGTTCCTGCCCTCGTGATGCGTCTCACCCCACTTTCAAGTTGCGGCCCCTCCTCGTCCTGGGCCTCGGCACTTCAGGGGTAAAACCAGAGGCTCACAGATTTGCCTTCCCAGCAAATGCCTGAGCTTTTGTTGGTCCCTGGTTTATCCATTCTAGCCCGCCCC